TCGAGCAGTATAGTTCTCGAAAAGAGGAAAATATTCTTATATCATACTTTTATTGTTATCATACTCTACACTTAGGGACGAACCTGATCACTGAAGAAATTACTTGATGATGGACACTACTTTGGGTAGTTTATCCTTAGAATTAATAAAACTATAAATTAAAAAAAACTTCTACACGAAATCCCAAATATACGTTGCAAATGGACGAAGTTTTAAACACATGGTGTACTCAACAATTATATTCTAATCGGGGCTGTGTAAAGTGATTTACAAAACTACAAAATTTATCTTACTCGAATTAAAAAACAATATTTTGACATATAACAATAACATTATCGACTTAGATCAGTAGCGGATGCAGAATTTAATTTTGGAGGGCTTAAGTACGAAAGCATTCACTCATGTGTGTGTGTGTGTGTGAATACTAACGATAATTACTTTCGAAGAAAAATAAAGAAACTAACTACCAATATGAAATTATTCTTGAAGCCCTATTCATAAAAGAAAAATGTATAATTTAATATTTATAATTTACTTAAAGAATATTTTAGTATTAGATGTGATGATGAAAATTGACCAAGTGTGGTATAAAATTGCTAAATAGATCGTTACTAAATAAAAAGACAAAAGTTAATAACATGCATTAGAAGAACAGGAGATAAAGGAAAACATTAAGAAGTGAAAAGAAATGTCTCTGAAGATGGAAAAAGAGTCCGAAACGTTGGACAAATGAATAAATTGACATACACAAAAAAGAGAAGTTTTCATGCTTTAGACCTTAAAGAAACATGTATATATAATTACCCGAAGAATAATGCCTTTAGGGATACTTTATTCCTGATTATATTTAATTGCTTTGTATGCATTATAATTTAAAAAAATTGAATATATCGTGATTTTTTTTTAGTACGTTGCTTAGATTACTCAGTAATAAATATAGACAATACAAAAAAAAAATATTATTTTCTCATTTTGGAGGAACATCCCGAAAGTACTCCTTCCATCCCCCGTAGATCCTCCAGTGGTTTTGATGGAGCAAAATAGAGGAAAATAATTTAATCATAATTTGCTTGAGATACAAACAGGTTTGATGCTCTTTTAGGAGATTCTGTTAGTAAAACTGATCTTACTGGGAGTTATTAATCATTAGGTAATTTATAATTTATTGGTCTTTCTGATAATCAAAATTTTATAGTGATTTCATATTACCTTGAATTTATATTGTCTCTTTAAGCTGTTAATTTATAAAATTAGTATACAATAGTGATATGAGGAATCAATATTTGATCCCTTATATCACAGTTATTATTGGTTGACATAATCCACTATGGATTTGTGATGTAGCGGTTACAGATAGGCGCCTTGTATGACGGCGAGGAGTTTCGTCGAGCGATTCTTTAAATAATCTATGACAAGTTATCATTCGTCTCTGAGTCATTCATTGGATACGAAACCACTCCATCTCTGTTTGTGTAGTATCGATAATACCTGTCGAGATAAGGTGGGTAATTAGCCTTCGAAATACCTCTCATTCTATGAAGATGACCATATTTCAACATGCACTCCCAAATTCGATGGTTTTCAGTGGAGTCAGAGATATTTGATCCCGGACTTCACGACCTTGGCTACTCGAGTTATGTTGCCTTTTTCGTCGGGAACCTTCTGCATTTCGACTGATTGCGTTTTGATATCGGCCATTCGTTCAAAGCTATGATTGGCCCCCGCTCTATAAGGCATAGCCCAGTTCGGGTCTTTGTTGTTGCTAGATCTAGTTCGTTAAACCAATTTCGCTTTGTAATGAGCTGGAAGGCCGGTCCTTTCTAGTTCAGATTTAAGGAAGTGAGTTCGGCCGGGTAAGAAGGATGTGGGAGAAATCCTGCTTATGCTCAACTCGAAAGGTTTCCGTTAAGCCATCTATTCATTTTTATTTATAAATTCAGTCTGAGCGTTTTCATATTACATATAGATAAGCGAATTTCTTTTCGTCAATATTAAGAATAGGAAATTATTTTAAAAATAAAATCTTTATAAATACATTTAACACTATATTCATTGCAGACATACCTAATTATAAATGGATTCGATACCATGCAAAGAGAAAATTATCTGCATCATCTCCAAGTTGAGGTTAACGCTGAGCTGAAATGCTAAATGTAAACGCTCGTACGTCACTCAGTGGTTTGACGGTGTGCAGAAGCTTAACAAAAAAAAAAAAAAAAAAAAAAAAAAAAAAAAAAAAAAAAAAAAAAAAAAAAAAAAAATATATATATATATATATATATATATATATATATATTAGAATATCCTAGAATGTTTTTATTTTTAGAAATAATTACCCTTTTTACTTCATCCATTTATTTAAATGCCATCAAAATGACGTTTCGATCCCAATTGGCTCATTTTCAAGTTAACTAAAAATATTCAAACTCACTTTTCTTATTTAATTATCTCTTGCTAATATAATACTTTTCCGATAATTCAACCATAAATAGTGTTCTACAAAGGCGAGACCAAGACGAGTCTTGGTCTTGCGCAAGAGTCTCGCAACAGTCTTACATACAGTTACTTCTTAGCCTATTATTATAGAGATATTACTGTAATTTTTTAGATAGGAAAAACCTAACCAAGCCTTAACCTAACTAAACCTCATGAAAAATTAGAGGAGTTACATGCAAAACTGTATTGGTTATACCAATTCTTTACATATAGTAATTGAAATTGTCAAATATTATTCAATATTTTGCCACAATTTTTATTCATTTTTCAATTAGGCAGCACTAACCATAAAATACAATTCGTTTGTCAACTAACTAATAAGCCAGTCTTTCCCCCTTTAATGTTCAAATTGGACTATATTAATATTATCTACGTAATGAACTATTAAGTGCAGAAAAATGCATCATGATATGAATTTTATATAATGGTTGGACTATCAGAAATGTATTATAATAGTACGAGGTAATTAAATAAGAAAGGGGAATGCGAAGGTTTTAACATAACTATACAATGAGCCATTGGGGTTTGAAATGATATTTAAATAAATAAATGGAGTGAAACGAGAAATTATTCCCCAAATAAAATATTCTAGGATATCATTCTAAGAAAGTACCGATGAAAAATACTTTCTGTACCAAAGTACCCAATCATATACTCCAGAAGTTTTCAGCTGTATAAAAATCATAACTGCATTCATTTAAGTTATCTTACTGTTGTGTAAGTTGAAAAATATTATAAAATTTCCTGTTTACTTATATATTATATACGTTCCTATTTACCGAAGTCAAACTTGTTATCAAAGATCCTGAAAGCGAAACTGGATACAGTATAGACTAACATTGATTTATAAATAAGCAAAACTAAAAATAAACTGTTATGGTAGCTTACATTCTATTGTTTTGTAACCGTTATTTTCTTTAACTGCTACCGTAGCAGCCTTACAGATGGATGACTGCTATTAAGCAGACTTTTCTTGTAAATTTAGTTTTCATTCATTTGTTAAATTCTTGTAAAATCCTATAATAGTATAATTGTAAAACGTTAACATATAATGTGAGAAAATATATATGTATATTTGCAATGAAAGTGACATTTTGTGTGTGTTGATTGTCGATATGAAAAAACGTAAAAAAAATAACTGCTTACTGTTTCACAAACTAACATAAGTTTACCTTCGTTATCTTTCTTTTTAGCCCTGACGAAGACTTGCAATGTGGATTGAAACTTAGGCTTTGAATTAATAGTAGGATTCTTAAAAGTATAATTTATTCAAAATTATATATTATTTATAACACTGAATAGACATTTCTACCTCATTATCGTTAAACTTTGGTACTGTTTACTTCGTGTATATGTATTTCATCTTGGTGTAATTATTTTGTTCTAATCCATGGACCGATCTCTCATTACGTTGTTCCTAGAAGATATATTACCTATTATTTACTTCTAAATGGAACGTCTTGACATTCCCTTTATGGCTAACTACATCTTGCCCATGTTGGGAGAGCTCATGTTTATTTTATATAACCAACATTTGCTGTATTATTTACAAACATGTGAATGTTCGTCGTCTGAATCTATTAAATTAACCCGACCGACTTAATCACTTTTTTTTTATAGAAAACCTCAGACATTCCTCTTTGTATATTCATTATCTCCTAGAATATAATTTAATTATAATTAAAATAATCTATATAACCACCTCACTTGTATTACAATTTCTCATTATCTCTTCCCTAGACTCATAATATTGAAGTGTCGGATTTCAAAAGCACATATGAAAAATTGAACATACTGAAATTACGTATGTAAGGCTAAGTATATGTTACAACATATAATTGTATATTACAGCATGCATGCGATGTTACAGCGACTTTTTCGACAAAATCGACTAACCATAAGTGGCACTTCTGCCACGTCGATCGATTTCGCATGTTTTTATAATTTTCTCGAAAACTGTTACAACGATTTTGATTAAACTCATTATGTTTATGTAAAATTAAATTTTATTCAATATTTAGTAGGTATTAAGCACAATAAAATAGTTTAACAGGCCTTAAATGCCGGATTTTCATTATGACTTTTTCAAAAGCACCTTTTATTCTGTTTATTTAAAATAATTAACCGCCTCACATTATTAGTATTAATAAAAAACGGATTACTGTAGGTTGTAAAAAATTTTGATAATTAACTTGTGGAGAAATGGGACTTGATAAGTGTTTTGACTGTGGACTAACGAAGACACCTAGCTTCGTCTGCAACGAGTTGATCTTGCCGAATTCTCCCGAGTAGTTCCGAAGAGGTAGCACGGGTCTTTCGTCTATTTTTTTCATTGAAAAATTAGATAACTAAGCAATTCGATAAATTTTCCGTCTAATTAAGAAGCGGAAAATGTTATATTTTTATACTGCTTACGTAATTATTAGTTATTGTCTTAATACTTTCTAAATATATTTTGTATATATTAATAAAATGTGTTTATTTATTTTTATTTTTATTTTCAGACCCTGGACCCAGTGACGGCGGTGTCGTTACAACTAATTCGCCCGTAAACAAGAGGAGAGTTTTCATGGGGCAAGTATTTTATTTAATATAAATTACTATTTATTATTTCTTTGTTGATTTATCTGTGTTATATAATAATAAATTAATTGATTTTTTTTAAGAAAAAAAAAAACCTTTCAAACCATGATTAATGAATTACTTCTTTTGATTTTCTAAAAGACGTGTTTATTTTTCATAACGAGCAGACATTATCGTAACCCCCACTCAGAACTTATTACCAATTATTACAATCATTATTAACCATAGTAAACATTTTTATGTTTAAACAATTAATTCCTACATAAAATCCTGACTTTAAAATTATCCTGAGAATATGGATGTACATCCCAACTTACATAGAACAACTTTGGTTGAAAACAGAAAACTTCATTGCGAAATAATGGATCGAGGCATGATTACTTTTCAACTAGAAGCAAGATGAGATCTAGTTTTCTCAGTTTTATAAACAGTGGAGGAATCTCTGAAAAGATATTTAAGTAAATATTAACGCATATCATATATTATTTTTATTTCAGAATTAAATGTAGAAATATAAATAGTTGCAATTGTTTGCCGACCACGAACTAAAAGAAGAATCCGTTCTAAATTTGTTCCAGTGTTTGCTATTGTTTATCTCATTTACAACGATCCGATCATTTTGCTCCAAAAATAGTGGGAGAGTTAATCTGAGGAATTTGTTTGAGTCTCTCCAAGATATTTTCGTTCCGCTCAGTCAATAAATAAAATATATTTATAGATTGCCCAATCGACTGTCAGCATAGCTTTATTTCTATTAAAAAAAAAAAAAATCATATATTTTCAGAACTTAAAAAAAAAAAAGAAGAATACTACTAATAAAGTAATTAGATATAATGCATCGTAGGTATTCTATTGTTAACGCTTTTTGTTCGAATAATAGATTTTTTTTTTGTGTAATTTAGGAGTACAAATGAACAAGAATATTTTTCTTCTATTTCTTTCAAATAATTTAATCTGTCAAAAAAATGATTTTCTTTAATCCACTTAATCTATATGCTATTTTTTGTTATAATTTTAGATGAACTGTGTAATTATTATTATTATTTTTTTACTGTACCGAAATATTAAAAGTTTTTTGTCATTAAAACTTTCTCTTAACTTTTAGTTTATAAGACTTGTCCAAATGGAAGGAAAGTTTAAATAAATACAAAATATGGTTCTATTCTGTTTTTTATTTTCAAAGAAAATATTGAATAATTGTTTTCTACTACGTTTATAGCAATATATTTTCAATGAATATATAATGTATTGAAATATATGAACTAAAATATCGGTATTTCGATGTATCTACGTTTTTCTAAGAACTCTACAAACTACTATGAAACCAGAATCGGAAAAAAAATATTATTAAAAAATTATCCTGCTTTCTTATGCAATTTATTAGTTTGGAATGTAATATGGGTTTTTTTATGCACATTCCATCTCTTATCAAAATATTACTCAACTTATGCGATCATCAGAACAGTTTGTCCTTTTGAAACCAACGTACAAATGTTCAACTACGTTTTTGCGTAATGAATTATTTTGCAATTTTCTGATAGAATAGTAATCGGCCAATGGCTTAGTTTCATCTTGCATTTTCAACCAGACGGTTAATTTGCTCTAGGAAATTGCACAATTCAGTAAGTAGAAATATTTTTAAACATTATGAAAAGAGCGAGATTTCTGCTTTTTATTAGAACCTTTATCACATCCTTTTTGGGAATTTGAATCAGTTCATCAACTGCTAATATTTTAAGTTTCTGAATTTATTTAGATTAAAAAAAATTTTTTTATAACTTGCATCTTTTAAGATAATGTGGCTTTATTTGACAAAATACTTTAAAAATTAAAAATAAAATACATCTTTTCAATAGCAAAACGTTAGAAAAAATGAAATGTACCATTTATTAAACAAAAACACAATTATATAGAAAAAGTATAATAAAAAAACTCAACTGAATGTCATCCACTACCCAAAATAATAAATTAAAAATATTTACAATTAAATTGTGAGCTATGGTGCACACCAGTTCTACTAATTTACAATTAAACAAAATAAAATAATCACTACTTGTACAAACATAAGTGCTTATTCCACCAGTTGGTCACTGCAAATTACTAAAAATCATTAAATACTGCAAATATACAAATTAAACAATATTAACAACAAATTCAAAGAAAACTGGCAACTTCATCTTGGCACAAAAAGATAGATTCACCCTGTGTGTAGAAATGGCCAAGTTGATTCAGCACAGTTGCCATCATGAGATCATAAACATAACACTTTCTTATTTAAATTAAATAATTATTTTTAATCATTAAGTCTTTTTAAAAACTGTTTTCGAATTTTTTTTTTCTTCAAAACTATTAACTTTGATTTGAAATAAGAATAAAGTGTTTTATGGATTAATTATTTTATTTCTGTTAGAAGGAAGTGGCTTCCTCCTCCTTTACGAAAACTAAGTACGCCCAAAGTTGAAAAGAACCAGCCTGCAGAAAGACCTCCTCTCAAGAAAACACCATCAGATAAGAGGTTCAAAGTGAGTTTATGACAGATGATTATGTATTGTAATTTTTAAACATGTAGGTATTAATTTATGCAGGGTAAGTAACTATAAGACATCTAAATTAAATAATTCTATAACTTTTCTCAATAGCATTAATGACTAATACAGAAATTTGCTATTTTAGTTATCTGCCTTAAATTGTTTGAATAAATCCTATATATGGTTATTTCACATAGATGGCTAAATAGTTTTAAATTTTTAATAAGATAAATGTAAAATTTACCTTCATTCATCCCCAATTAATTTAAATTACTTATTAGATCAAATTGTACCTTAAACTTGTTAAAACTAGTTAACTCTTAGTGCTCGTTGTTATGCTGAGACTACTGATAATTGTAAGAGCCTCAGCCTCTCATTATAAATAAAGCAGATTCTGACACAGACGAAACTGTTGTATTCTGAGAGCAACAACTGGTTCAAGGGCAGTGGATACTATATTGAGAGACCGACTGATCTCATCCACAATATCTTTCTTCTTTTTATTTAAAGGATTTAATTTTATGATGATTAATTTTTGAGTAAGATCTATCACGCGATTGTATTATATTTATTTAAAAAAGAAAAATAATAGAGGGACTGTATGTATAACTTGTTACTTGTACCTGTGAACTATCTTCAGACAGCAGTAGGAAATACTTTCGCAAGTAACAAAACTATTTTTCAGGTTTTGTAAATAAAATATAATTAAACAATATGTGGCCATTCAGAAATCTGTAGAAGTTGAATAAAAAAAAAGAAATAAGTAAAAATTACTTTAAGATATCAACATAAACATTTGAGTTGAAAAAAATTAAACTTTTGCTGTGTAATAAGAATAAAATATATTTATATTTAGAGAATCTTTGAATAAAAGAAGTTGCTAAAGAATTTTGAGTAAAATGTGGAAGTTTAAAGTATTCAAATATACATATTTTGATTTCAACATTTCATTTATTTTTTATAAGAAATATTGCTTTCACATAAGACTTTATCATTATACTACTACCAAATGGTCAATTTTGACACTGATAAAAATGACTGCTAAAAATATTACTAATTGATTAGAAATATTTTATTATTATCGTACTTAGTCTTTACATATTTCCATCTCTTGTCTGTCTAAGACATTTCTCTTCCCATGTCATCAAATTGAATTCTATGAATGTAAAATAAAATATATTTCAATATTTTTTTTTATCAAAGTATTCAGCAATATTATCCCTCATTCCATTTCTTTTTTTTGGTTTAAGGCCTATTTCTCTTTCCTACCACATCTCTTTCCTACCATATATTATTCCATTCCTTAATTTCAAATATTTTTCATAGCAATTATTTTGGATCTAAGATGAGTTTGAGTGTAGGGGAAGGGAGTTTGGGCAGCCTCCCCCACTCAAGTTCCACCTCACATCATGAATTTATATAATTACGTTTTTGGTTTGAGGGTGGATAATTTGACCTCTTTTACTTTTAATATTTGACATATTAAATGAAAATTGGTAAAAGAAATTATAAGAAAATTGATAAAAGAAATTTCTAATTGTAAAGAAAATTGTAGAAGCATCTAAGAATGAGTAACGAAGACAGGATTTTGAAGAGTGGGGGATTGGCGGGAAAATGTTTTGCCACTCTACTCTCCCGCAAACTCATCTTAGATCCACTATACCTATTCTCTTTTATCTATTTTCAACCTATACATTTCTTTTGACAATTTTCCATCTGGTATTCTAGAATATTAACTTTACTTCTCTGGGGTGTTTTTTTACAAAGAAGCTATTAATGATCCCCATTTCTATTCTACATTTCAATATTTTCAAGTTTCTGCTGGTTATGTAAATAGTTGCTATTGCATTAAACTACTACTTAATTCATGGTGATGCATTGGAGAAAGCAATCTATTTTCAATTTGTAATCTATCGTCATTGCTTGTGCTAACATTCAGTTTTTAATGTAATTACAATAAAAATATATAAAATTATACTTTCTTCCTTTAGATTATAGCAATTTATAGCATGGGAAATGACTCTGGATGAATAAATAATAACAGAAATTGTCTAGAAAAATAATAACTGAAACTAATGAAACAAAAGAAAAATATTTACATGAAATAAAAATGATAAATAAATTTTTTAGTGTACAAATAATAATTATTAGACATATTTACATGATTTTTTTATGATTATTAATTAAAATAACAAGATTAAGTATTATTTATCATGTATTTTTAACTATATAGAAGGTTAAGTATGCTATGATTTAATATTGTCAAGTGTTCTATTAGATAACAGAAATCATAATATTTGCAACACCCTCATAAATTCACCAACTGACCTAGATGACACAACCTAGATAAAACCTAACATGAATTACTAATAATAATATATTATTCTTGATATATTCATTGTTACAAAAGATAATAACATATATTTTAGAATGTGACGTATTATGACTATTTTATATTGAAATTACATTGAATCATGAGGGATTTAAGGGTTTACATTTTTGTAAACTGAACAATTAAGTATGGTTTAGAGGATCTTTTCAATTTATCTAAAATTTAAATATAGTGTCTCGTTTATATGTAATATAGTGTTTTTTTACTCTTTTTATTTAATTGAATGTATATTAATTTTATTTATTTTCGTGATATCGATTTAATCTTTTTTTGTATATTTTAGTTTATTTATTGATTTTTATTTATAATTAAATGTCAAATTCCAATGTATTGTTATTTTAAAATATTTAATATATATTGTATTACACATAAGAGCACGTAAGATTATTGACAATAAGGATACTTTATTAGTTATTATTCAATTTATGACTATTTCTTTTTTTACCCCCTAGTCTCCAACGAGTGAGAGTAAACCCGCGGACGACACAGGCGGTCAGAATGGAGACGAAGCCGACGAGGAAGTGCTAGAGCTGCCACCGCCCATGAAGCCCATCTCAGAGCCTCTGCTCGTCCCAAACACTGAAGACGCTCAGGCACAGAGGGTAAGTCCGCTTTATTTGTTACTAGAATAGTTAATATTTTACAGCTCTTCTTTCGTCAGGCTGACCTCAGGATTTAAAAAATATTTACAACTTTTTTTCCCTATTTATAATCACTTCATATATTTTATCTTTTATTTCAAATGGGTATGTGCAGCATTTGTAACATTGATAACTATACTTTGATTCCATTTAAAAAAATTCATATTTTTTCTAAATTGGAATTTTTTTTTATATGCATCTTAAAGTTAATTAATATCCGACTGATGTTATGTTATGTGCTATGCAAATCTAGTGAATAGATAAATTGTATAGAATTGTTAGCCCAGTAGTTGACTGCGGAGTATTCTGTTTCAGTCGTCAACCCTCTCGTTAGAGGGAGCTACTTCAGCCGACTTAGCCGAGATTGAGCAAATCGTCAAAGAGAGAATGGTGAATAGCATTGCTCATTTACTCTGCTTCAATGAGCATGTTTTTGGGGTTTATATTTTGTTTATTATTCTTATGGATTTTTATTTTTTTAGTTCTCATGTATTATATAATTTTGTTTTTCGAACCGCACAGTATGAATTTATAATTTGTTTGTAGTTTGGCTTTTTATTTTCTTTCTTATTTATTTATTTTTTAATACTGTTTTGATTACCAATTTAATTTTGTATTTGCTATGGTTTTTTTTTACAAAGGTAATTTTAATTCTTCCAGCTTCGGACATACCAGAGTTGATTCACAATTTTTACATTGTATACATTTCATTTAGCAATTGTAACATCGCACACGTGTGGATTGCATGTCACTTGAGTTCTGAGTTTGTAGTGATGGTTGTGCTTTTTTCTTGTATATTTATTTACTATCATTATTTCTTTTCTTTTTTTTTTTTAAGAATGTAGTTATTAAAATGTAATGACTGATAAATTAAATTTGATTGTGACGAGTGAATATGAGAGCATCATTACACAAATGAAAATAAAATTATAGTTTTTAATTAAGATAAGCTAATTGGAATGAAAGTAGCAAAAGTCTACAAATTACAAAATTTGTGAAAGAACCAATCTCAGAACCCTTAAAATAATTAAATAAAAAAATATCAAAGTAACAGAAGTAAATGGCATTGGTGTTTGTAATAATTACAATATTTTTTTGCTATGGTAATTTTATATGAACAATAAATACCAAGTCCCCAATATCTCAGATTTGACCTTCACAACTTTCGTTCTAACTGGCTCAAATGATGTGGTATTTTTAAAAAACTATTAAGATATAACTTAAATTGTTTTATGTGTTTGAAAAGATACTGTAATTTATTTCATGAAGTACTTCTTAAAAACAATGAACTGGACCTGGACTAATATCCAATTGAAAATCATTTCTTATGGGCAATCAGTCTTTTAACTAGTCAATTAAATGAAACATAATTGTTTCATTATTTTTTTTTTCCATATTCTCTGTCATCATTGTGTCAGAACTACCACTTAAATGTAAATAATGAAAAATTGTAACTGAAAGATTTATTGATATTTATAAACAAATAATATAACTTAAACGAAATATGGTGTAATGAAATAAATTTTTAAATAGTTAAAGATAATAAGACTTCATCATGTTAACATAAACAAATTAAGGATAAAGTTTGTTTCATGAGATTAATGATTTAAAACAATTTACAAAATGAGTTAAAGATAAAAAAAACAAATTAAAATTTGTTTTTTTCCTCAGGTTAAACCACATTTATTATATCTTTTTAGATGTAACAAAATCTAAGTATCACAATCAGTGGTGTCAAGAATGAAGGAACTTGGCTTATCTTAAAAATTTTATTAAACAAATTTGGGATATGATTATTTTGTTTCAAACCAAAAATAATTTTTCTTCTGTTATTTCTTATTTATATTTTATGCAAAAATGGTCTGTTAAATATAGATGTTTTTGTAATAAACATTTTTCAAAATATAATGAAAATTAATAACCAGTAAGTAAAAACATGATAACTGTATTTTGTTCCAGTTAAAAAATTTCAAATTATGAAAATGTATTATTATTTAGAAATAATGTATAAATACCAAACAATAATGCAAATTCTTTCTGTTAACAGATCATCAAATAACTATAATGAACACTGAAACTTAAAATAATTTTTAATTTTGGGTTGTTCCAAAGGTATAGGAAAAGATAGATAATTATAATGTTTTGTTTTTTTTCTCTTTTTCTGCCCTAGCATTTTTTCACTCTATGTTCTATTATATTTCATTTTCAATATCTTAATGATATTTATTATTGCCATTTTTTCAGGAACAACACTCCGAGAAGACATCCCAAGTTACACCAGTAAAGTCTCCACCTGAACCTCCACCGCCACCTCCTCCTCCATTGGAGAGTGCAGAATTATCTCTCCAAAAGAGAAAATATGTTATCCAGGAGTTGATTGACACAGAAAGGGACTATGTTAGGGATTTAAGTCTTGTTGTCGAAGGGTAAATATGCGATTTTTACTGTAATTCTCTTCTAGTTTCTTTTATTTACTTCAGAAATTTGATATTATATTGAATTTTATAAGAATTAAAAAAAAAATTACCCTTTTTTTTCAATGAGCTATTACTTAAACTCTTTTGGCTTGTAAAAAGTATTCACTTTAATAACACAGTACCTAAAATCTTATTTTCAGGTATATGGAGCTAATGAGAGACCCAGAACGCCCCGTGCCAATGCCCGATGACTTGAGAGGTGGAAGGGACAAGATGGTGTTTGGCAACATTGAGGCTATTTACGAATGGCATAGAGAGTAAGTTCAATTTAATTAAACATACTCTGATGTTACATTCCAATACCAGCCAATTCCATTTTTTTTTTTTTAAATTGATACTAGATTATCATGAGGTAAAAGAATTTAGTACCAAAACTATTAATGTTAAACAGGGAAAATCACACTTTAAGAAATAACATTACTCTAAAATTAGAATCACTATTTTGTTTCTGATTTTCAGAAACAATTTTCGGTTTCATATTAAAGCCATTCCCAAGTTAAGGGTTACTCAAGAAAAGAATGTTGGTTATATCACTTCATTCACTTTTTAGTATTATTTATTTTGTAGAACTTAGATATTTTGTTTTAAATACCAAATAATAAAGTATTACTTTAGGATGACGTTATTTATGATATACACAATTATGTTATTTTTTGGTATAAAAAGATTTGTAAGAGTGGTTTTACTGAAGAATCTCTTGATTGAAAAATGCATTGGTTCTCCATTCTCTATATTGAGAAATAATTTTTAATCCCCTGTCCTTGAAGCTGGCCGTGCACACCAAAATCATCCTGACCTGTTTTGTTCACCGTGGAGTGAAATCTTGGTGATCAAGCTCGTTAAAGCATTCCCTGTTTTTATCATTCTTGAATCTAACAAAGCAAGTTCGAATATGGTCTTGGCGATTTGAAATTTATCCCGTGGTAGACCCACTGTAAATCTTGATCTTTTCACTCTGATTAGAATATAGTTGGTAGAATATGGATTCTACTATCTTAAGATAGTGAATATTACTCATAGTTCAATGTAGCAAAAAATTTTCTTGTAGCTCTAAATAAAAAGAATGCGAAGATTGTTCAAAATTGGCTTAGTCACAGGCAGATAGTAACAAACAAGTTTCATTTAATTTATTTTATTATGAAACTAAATTTGAGATTCCAGATTGTTAAGAAAAACATCATTTTGTTTCTTGTTAAATCACCTACTTTAATTTAATTTGTTTATGACAAATAAAAACAAACGCATATGGCAATGTTTAATTAATATTTATTATGTCATGATTTAAATTTAATTTTGTTTTTTGTAGTTCATTTTTGAAAGCTCTCGAGAGATGTTGTGAACACCCTGAGGAATTGGGTTCCCTTTTCAAGAGATATGAAAGGAAGTTAAGGATGTACGTCATATATTGTCAAAATAAGCCTAAGTCAGAATACATTGTCTCCGATTTCGAGAACTATTTCGAGGTATGCTCCATTTAAATACTATTTTTTTCATATTTATTATATTTTAACTATTTTATTAATTTGAAAAATTAACTCTTTTTGAAAGAATATATCTGATATAAAAGAAAAAAAAACAGTACATCTACCTCTGCAATTAATTGTTATCGTGGATTTATTGATAATGTTTAAGTGATTTTCATAATAAAAATTTACAAATATTGCTTTTTTTAATTTTATTTTAAACCAATTTTTCCACAAAGTCTAAGTTTTTTCTTTTTTAAAATAGATGTTCAGTTTCATTTTTAAGTATGTACTGCTTAACTTTCCTATATAAATGAATATAATATGGTGTGTAAATTGTTTCTTAATTACCCTTTTGAAAACATTTTCCAAATATAAAGCTGTTTATGCACAGTATATGGTTAAGGAAAGTAGAATTCATTATTCAGATGATTTAAGGTTTCCATTATTGTAGTTAAGATATCTTTCCTTGTTATTATTCTTTTAATCTTTTCTGTTATTAGGATTTGAGACAGAAGTTAGGACATAAGCTACAAATTTGTGACTTGCTTATAAAACCTGTTCAGAGGGTAATGAAATACCAACTCCTCCTAAACAACATTTGTAAATATACAGAGAGAGCAGGTTTAACCAGTGAAACTGATGCTTTAAGGCAAGATATTGCGGTTCTACAGGTAGTTCTCAAGGCAGCCAATGATATGATGGATGTTGGAAGGCTTCAAGGATTTGATGTAAGTTTATATAGCTTTTATTTATTTTTTTTTTACCATACAATACACTGATTTTTGATTATTTAAAAAAATACTACCTCCAGAACAAAATCAATAGTAATCAGTCAATCTCGAGGACTTATTAAGAAATAGTTTTGTTTAATTTAACTCTGAATAAATACATGTATCTGAGGCCACGTTTCATGAAACAGAATCAAGGCTGTGTAATCAATTGCAATTAAAATATTTATAACTTCTAAGTTTCCTAAAATGATTTCTCTAAAACCTTTTATCTTTATTATCACCATAATATTAATGTATAAAATATATTTCAGGGCAAGATCACTGCTCAGGGAAAACTCCTGCTTCACGGTACACTTCTCTGCAGTGAAGGTACCTCTACGGCCAATTTTAAGGGCAAAGAGCTGGTAGTCTTCCTATTTGAGCAGACTATTATCTTCTCTGAGGCAGTTGGAAAGAAGACGCAATTTACTAATCCAGTTTACATCTACAAGGCCCATATCCAGGTACAGAGCTCTTTCATTAAATATATTTATTTATAATTAAATAAGAAAATTCATTTTTAAGAAAAACAATTCTTACTTTCATGAGATTTTTTTTGGTTCTTTATTTCAGGATTAGTTTTTAAAAAAATTATTTTACCATTTTATGTTACTATTCTAAATTTGTATTTAGATCATTTTAAATAAGCAACGTGATCCCACTGACAATAATATCCATAGAAAGTAGGAGTATCAATTGACTGTACCATGAGTTTTTAAAACAATCTATTCTAGCATTTCTTTTTTAAAGTTGCCACTTAAAACATTTTGTTTATTTTGTAGGTGAACAAAATGAGCCTTGATGAAATCACATCGCGAGATAAGGATGATTACTCGAACGAACCATTCATAATCCGTTCCACTGATCCTAAGAAACCAGGAACCTCCTATGCATGCCTACCGGCCCCCGAACTACGGAGTGAGTGGTTGAGCAACCTGCGAAACATCCTTCAGACACAGAGGGACTTCTTGAAGGCCATCCAGAGCCCCATCCAGTACCAGAACAAACTGACCAAGGACCCGACGTAAGTTGCTTCTTCAGCCTGCTGCTGCATGCTTCCCGATTGCCCTTGGGCAGTTATTTATTGTCACTTATAGAAAATATCACATTCCTAATATATGTTATTTGCTAGTGACAAAGTCTCGAAATTATATTGTTTTTAATGCTTCTTAATAGTTGCTTTAACTTATTAGGGGCAATCGAGAAGAAAAAATCAAATACCAAAGAAAATATAAAGAGAATACCCTGTTGTTATAGTGTAATGCTCATTCACTAACATAAAAAAATTAACTAAAACTAAAATTGATAACGAAGCATTGTGGACTTGGCAGGGACATGAGTATTCTAGATACTCTAAAAATTAATAATTGGTGCTTGTCATGTAACTTTTTAGGCCATTACAATCTAATTAATATATTTATTATAAGAATGCCTGTCGCACATCTATATTACCAATGTTTAGAATGGATGATTTGAATTTTTTTTTAAGAAAAGACAAATTTTAACTATTTTTTATAGCTCAATTAAGACTACATTTTTATACATAAAATTTTTTTCATTGTATAGACCAATAGGTGTGAGACAGCTGTAATTAATAACTTACAGTTAATATTACTAATTGTATTATAACTATTGTAAATTGAGGTTGATATAGAAAATGTGACATATCACATATATATTTTTAATTTTTCTTTATTTTATTTCTAATGGATTAAAGATCTTAATTGACACGGATTATCAATTGATTTTTGTTAATGTGCCAATAAGACTCTGCTGAGTTTAATGGCCGAGCAGATAAAGTAAAAGGAGTTTTGAGTAATATAGGTTTGTTTTGCGTCCAGTCGGAGATTTAAAGCTCACTATTGTATATTAGAATGTTAATAATCATATGTGGGATATGAATGTAAATTGTGACATATATTTATATATACATATATTAATGTATTATTTATTAGAGATTGGTATCAACAATATTTGATAATTTATTGTTGTGTCGATATCCTATGATTTATATCTTAAATTCTCGCTCTGTGATTCTGTTCAAATTTTAATCTAGTCAATTTTATGTCGAATAATTGTATTTTTACGCTTAGGAGTAAGGATTGTTGTCTTGCAAACGTCTCCACTTTTTCCTGCCTTATTGATTGATAGCTATTGAGAATGTTTCCTAATTAGTTATTAGAGAGTAAATAGGTTACAGGCTTCTACCCTACCTGGAAAAAATTATCAAGTGGAGTAAATTCACGATTGCACATTGAAAGAGTTTATTTACTTTTAATTGTTTAAACTATAGAGAGGCATTCGGGTGTTCCCATTTTCATGCATGTAAATTTTCGCTAACAATTTAAGAGGGAAAAATAATTGAGGAATTCCCATGTCTATCAATTATTGTACAATATGAGCATTTCTTTCCTTAGAGCTAGGTCGTTTTGTATTTTCTTAATATTATTGATATATAACCGTGCTGTTAAAATAAAAAGAGAATAAAAATAAGTTATAAAAATGAGGATGTGAATTTGAAACTATGAAAGGGGTGTGAGTTAAGAAAGATTTTCTTCATAGTTATAAACATTCTGTAAATTCATTTATCCCTCCCATTTTTGTATGTGAGTTATTTTATTTTATTTTTATTTTTATATATAATTAATTCATGTTTCAATGGACCATATAATGTGAGCGTATAAATGTAAACGAAAAATTAAAAAAAGAAAAAAAAAAGGGCAATTTGTACATTGCATATGTTGTGATAACAAAAATGTATTATAACGGGTAAATTACAATTTTTTAATATTTGAATATTAATAATTAAATTTTAAGGAGTTGAGACTGTAAATAAGATTATTATACTACTGTAAGCGTTAATTAAAAAATATTATTAATTACTTTTACTAAAGTTTAATATATTTTTAGAGCGACTGTGCTCTCTTACATTTCCCAGAACATTTTAGTTTTTGACGTAATCATTAATTGTATTCTGTGAAGGAACAACATTGTTTCATGTATGATATAAATTTTGTTAAGGTTCTCTTTTAAATAACAGAAATAGAAACCTCTCCAGAAAAACTGGGACTTATTGATGTAGCCTATGAGACGTACTTTTATTCGAAGAGGTCATTGAGAAAGAGAGAGAGAAAGAGTGAGAGAGAGCACATGATTTGCATATAATTGTTTGTAAAATTTCTTAAAGTGATATTAAGTGTACATATGAAGTATATATATTATATATAGATAATATATATGTATGTTTGTACATAAATAAAGGACACATCAGTTTTCATTAAGTAATATTATTGTCTTATTTATTCCCATTTTGAACCAACAGTAACTTTATCGGGATTAATGGTTATATGTTCTTAAGACCTAATTTTGATACAGATGAGGTAAGTTTATTGAAAAGTAATGAAATTTGAAGCTTTAGGCACCTGTTTGATATTTATGAATAGTGTGTTGTACACCATGTCTACTATTTAGATTGACATTAAAGTGAGCATGTCATTTTCAAGCATGATGAATGACCCTAATATTGGATGCATTTTTTTTTCACATTTTCTATTTATTAACCATTTTAATCACGTATTAACAAACACTCACTTTTCTTATTAAATTTATTTACCTAATATGATATTTATGACAGAATAAATGTCATAAGTCAATCTTTATAATGAAATAGTGAAGATAGTATAAATTATACAAAAATATGGAGGTTGGTATTTGATTTCCTGGCTTATCTGGAACTTTATACTTATTTGAATAAAAAGTGTCCCAGTTAAAAAAATGAAATTGAAGTTTTGAGAAATTATATCCTAACTAGTTTGCATTTATTCTTATCTTTTCACTAGGACCTATATTATTATATTTACACTCAACTCCATTTAATTGTTTCGTCAGGAAAGACCATTTTGTTTTAATAAAACAGAAGCACCGATGAATTGAATTTTCTAAAAAAGATTAAGAATGACTGAACAATCTAAGAACATTTACTTTCTGAGCTGAGCAATGTGCTTGAAGAGTTCATATACAGTATTAGTGTTTTTTTTAGATAATTAATGAGAGTACATTTCTGCTAAGAGTTCCGCATGAATAATAAATAATAAAACAAAAATAGAATTGAAAAATAAGTGGAATAAAATAAAATATATACATTATGTTTGTATATATTACTAATGTATTTCATCATGAAAAGTTGAACCTTTCCTGGTATGTATCATTTTTCTAATAATATATTACAAGGCTGAATCAAATAAAACTATTTAATGGGAATCACCTTTTTCAAATTGAATGACATCAAACTTCTGGAAATAAAAGTAATTGATTAGATAACAAAACAAAATAATAAATATTTAAAATTATAAGGTATGAGTTTTTTCTCAAAAAATAAACTTTATATATTATTTAGTAGAGAACAAGTTAGTTCAGTCGGTAAGGCATGGACTTCCTAAGCTCAAGGTCCTGGATTCTAATCCAGATGATTTTAGGTAATTATTTATTCTGTTAAATCAGGCATGAATCAACCATGGGGTGAGAAGACCCCCCTGGGGCACACCTAACCTCTATAAATTGGGTACTGTTAATTAAATAATTAATTAAAGAAGAAAAATGCGGTTCAACATGATTCCGCCTTGATCATCTCTCTGTACAAAAGGCTTTGAAATAGTATTTTCTTACAAAGTACTGAATCCAAGTTCCTTCATGGCTTGTAGTGTTGTTAGCTTTTTTTTTATATTTGATAATTAATAATTCTATATTTTATTAATTATTTTGATATTAAAAGTATAAAACTTGTCAGTCATCAATGCACCTTATTTTATTAAATGAAAACCTAATCATTATACCATTATTTGCATTTTTGGGATCAACATTTGAGGTAAAAACTTATTCATTTACAATTTACGTAGTTTTGTTAATTATTTGCCACACTATGAACTTATTTTTTTCCATTTGTAAACCATGCATGCTAGTTTTTTCACATATTCAGATATTGGATATTCAGAATTTACTAAATAAATATATGCCATCCCGAACTATTTATTCCGAATTTCTCAGGACAGTTTTAATTAAATTTTAGCAATTTCTTGTAACAAAGAAACTCCTTTTTGTCCTGAATGTTTACCAAAACAATTAATTCCCGAAAAATATTGATGGTGTACTTTCCTCAAACCAATTCTTAATTTTCATGTGGACTTTTTTGTAGTTTTCCTGGGAATAGGCTGAAGCTTCCCCGAAAATGGTAAGACATAACCATGTCTTATGAAATAAATATTAAAAATTTATCTCTAAAAGTATTATTGTTCGTGTAATTATATTTAATAGGACTTCAAGAATCATTTAAACACCATTTCATATAGGTAGTTAGTTTATTTATTTTTTTCCCAAAATAATCATCATTGTATATGTATAAAAAAAAAAGCTTTTGGGCTGAAGTTGCTCCTGAAAATTAAATCCTGGATCCGCTAGTCTTTAAATGGAACTATAAATATGTGGTTAAAAAATTACAATGGTTTTACTAATTTTCATATTGAGGTTTCCTGTAAAGTGGAATTCTGCCCTATGGATTATATGGTAAAATCTCTCTCTCAGTAAGACAATTTATGTAGTTAATATGGGTGTGCGACCCTTGGTTTTCTATAAGTTGTATATTTAAGTTTTATTCTTAAAAATAAAAATTTTGTATTAAGTAATTAAATTTTTAATAAATGTACCTTATTCAAAACGTATTGAATATATACCATGTACCATTTACCTAAGAAAATTTAGACTACATATTGTAACAATAAAATATTCATACTTTGACTGACCAGACAGACTTGGGGAGAAAGGAGAGCGATCGCTCCCTCAATATAAATATTGAAGAGGTGAAAATATCGTTTTTGATATTTTGGACAGCAAAAGTTTAAAAACTTTATATCAAATTCTATAATAATCAATCTACAGGGATGTATAAAATATGTAAACTAAATTCAATTTCTTAAAACTACTTTCTTAAGTAGAAAAAGTGGACTACATGGCTGAGCTAAGGCAAAGATGTCGGTACACAAGTATTTTACCATCCCCAATGTTTCTATTATTGAAATTTTAGTTATATTCAAAGATAATTAGATTGTTAAGTAAATATTGTACATATACTTTGGTATTACGCTGTTTGTTTTATAATAAATATATTGATTATGTTAATTATTAATAATATGTTAATTTATTTTATATAAACTCACAAGATTTTGGGGGGTATTTCATCTCCTCACTAACCAGAAAGGAAAGTTTGTCCCTATGATTGTTTGTGGAATGAACTTCATATATTTAATGGAAAAAACATTACTAAATGGTTCCCAATAAAAAAATATTATAATTATAATAAAGCATAAAAATAAAAAAAAATATTTTCCTGTGAATAAACTGCTTTTATTGCCCCTTTTGTACAGAATGCATTAAATAAACAATAATTTTAATCAGTTCAAGCAACAAAGATATTTTATTTTAAATTCAACCTTTAAGATACAAACATTTTCAAGGTTTACAACAGTCCTATTGATCACAAATTATTGACTGGTTCTGTCTTATTCATCCTGTAAGTCATTTAGAAATACAAACACAATACATAAATACATAAGTAGGAACCTATCCCTTTTGATAAGGCTTGAGTTACACTTTTTACTATAGTATTATAATACGAATACTATATCTATCAGCAATATACCTTAAAATTGGTTAATTAAATTTATAATATCTTACCTGTAATTAGATATATCAAAACAATTGTTACCTTTAATGTTTAACCACAGAAAACGTTTAAATATTGTGGACAGCCTATATATCAGAAATATATTATTTGATAACTGTACTTTTCATATGGGCATCTTCTGTCTAGAATGATTTTTTTTTCTTCACAAGTATTTTTTATAAATAGTTGATTTAAACTTTTTTTCTGGTCTAGTTTTATTTTAAAAATCTACAAAAAAGCATGTATAATTTAGATAACTATTGCAATGCATGAATTCCATGAGCGTGTTTAGAATTAAATTTTTTAAACCACTACAGGTTTTGGAGAGTTTGAACTTGTCCGTCAAAGAAGTTTGTCAAAAAATATTTACTATGCATGATAAAGTTTTTAATTTTATGAATATTTATAAAAGTTACTTTATCATAAATAGTATTCTCCTAGTCCATACAGCTGATTCATTTATTTTAAAAATTAAGAATTGTGTGATACGTAATTTGTAGTATAATATTAAATAAGAATTTTCATTATAATTTTATATCAAAAATAAAAATGTGCTTATCTGCCAATGACACTTTCATGGGGGTAAAATCCCTAATTATTTTTTCAAGTTTCATATAAATTAATAATTAATATCTAAAAAGTTTATTCCAATAACTTAAAACATGACATGAAACAAACTAAGATAAAAATCAAAACTTAAATTGAAACAAAAAAGGCACTATTTAAATAACTTCTGCTTTTTCTTTTATCAAAGGAACATATAATTCCTGAAGAAGTGTGTACAGGTTCGCCATTTTTTTCATCTTAAAAACTCAACTCCTATATAATCAATAGGGATTAAATTTATATTATCCCTGTAAACATCATAATTATTAAATATGCTGTTAAGGTGTCCATTTTTGCTGCCTCTAAATTTACATTATTTCTACTGGTGCATTATTCCCAGTAAAAAAAAATTCAAAATATAGTTTATTTATTAGTAGCATCTCATCATAATTTACAAACACATTGCTGACTTATAGAAATATAAATATGTGTGATATATGCATATTTTAACTTACAAAAGAAACTCTACAATGTTACTCCACAACATGAAATTAGACAATTTTACTCTATTTTTTATAAATAATAAATTTCAGCTGCAAATTAAGGAGAATCTACTGTTTTTTTTTTCTTTAGTTGCAAAAGAATAATTAGTAATAATCTCTAAGAAAAAAAATGTATGATTTTGCTCAATCAAAAAATTATAATAAAATTTAAAATAAATTGTTTCATTTAAATAAAAAATAATCAAAAGTAAGTAATTGGTATTTTAAAGAATTTTAAATTAATTTGATGATCTGAACTATAGATTTGGTTCCCGAGAGCCAAGCCCACCTCTCTCGCACACTGATTGCCCTGAAGTCTATGTCTCTCAGTCACATTGCAAAAGGCAAAGTTTACTCGGAGGCTTCAGAGCTACCTTGCGTCGGGCTCGCAGTGAAGTTCCCCAGCGCCACGCTGGTCATGTACGGAGGTGGTCTGATTCGGTAAGCATTTACTTTATATATCAATTAAATTATTGGGCATTTGTATTGTACTTAATAAAAATAAAATATAGAAATTATAATTTTATTTTATAACTGATGTTAAGTTATATACAAAAGAATTAAAAATAATACTAAAAAATTTAAAAAATCAATTCTTTTAGAACAATAAAGAATAGAATTGTATCTTCCAAGAATATTTGCTTATAATTAAAATTAAAATAAAGCTACAGACACATCAGGGAGAAAAAATCATTGAACAATATAGTAACTACTGTGTAAAATTAATTGATGAAATCATTAAAAATTGTCATAATAAAAATGATAAATGACAATATGACTTTTTTCCCTAATTTATTTATTTATTTTTTTATGATTTCAATTGAAAGATTGAATATAAAATCAGTCAAGTCAAATTTTCTTTCTAGAAATAAATAAAAAATTATCATAGTTTCTTTTATTCATCTTTGTTTTACTGAAAGCCAAATAAAAATTTAAGCAACAAACAGCATTCCCTATAAAATTGTTGTGTAATCTCTGCTTTTTTGAAACCATAAATCACTGACTTGTCTGGGCACTATAATCAATCTTATGATTGAAATTATTTATTAAACATATCTATAAATGAGTTGATTTCTGATTGACGTATGTCTAACCATAAAATAAAAGTGTCATGTTTTCTGCATGGTTTGTAAGTTATGATCAGCACTTATTATTGCTAACTCCTTCATTAAAGAGTACTACAGTTCACTCGTTTTATGAACATCTCTAGTCATATCATGTTTATCTTTAATGAAACTGAAGTTCCAATAAAGAGAAGTACCTAAATAAGTTTTATTATGTACACTCTTAGATATGTGGTCAGAAACAAAGATAGAAATTTTTTTTTTAGAATATTAATTTAGAAGCTAGAGTAAGTATATGGAGCCTTCGAAGTTCGAACAGAGCTAAGGCAGGAAGATGTACTCTCGCCAATCCTTTCCAATTAAGCCTTTGATAATGTGATAAGAACAATATTATGTAAAAATGGATCGATGCACATGGGAATAAATCATTATATCCTTTATGATGATGATATAGCTGCTATTGGAAGCAATATAGAGGACATTCAGAGACTTTTTAAAATTCTAATAATAGAAGTAGAGCAAATTAGCCAAATGAAGATAAAACAAAATATATGATAATGAATTCAAATAGACCAGTGAGTAACAAGCACAGAATTTTCTTCTTTCCTTCAAAGACATTGAAATCTCAAAAAATCTCCAGAAATCTCAAATTAAAGGAATATAATGCCCATTGATAAGCCCAGTTCTGAGATAAGGCTTCCAATCCTGCATACTAATCAGCACCATAGAAAGAGAAATTGAAAGATTTGAGAGAAAAATCTAGAAGAGAGCGACCTGGGATCATAGGCTAACACGTGTAGCAGAAGAGCCACTAAAGAATTGCTTTAGAAACTGTTAAATGTGTATCTTAATCTTATGATATGAATGCAAGGAAGTGAAGATAGGCATGACTCGTCACTCAAAGCAATCTTTCAGGAAGCCTTTACACAATAACACCGATGCTTTACACAATAGTTGGGAAAAAACCATATGGGAGGCCAAAAATAAGAAGATGGGTTGATAGAATTAACATTGATACATCTGAGCTGCCTGTAGCAAATTGGAAAGCCGTAGCTAAAAACAGATAGAGATGGCTGTTCACGCTGGCCAAGGATTTAAAAGGTCTATAAAGTCAAAGGAAGGGAAGTTCACAACAATATATTAATTGCAAGAAATATTATGCTAATATAAGTCTTATATATAATCAATAGGTTTAACAGTAACCATTGCTTCTTTATTTATAATATCAAATTATTTATGCGAATACTTATAATTATGTTAAAATAATCTTTAAGTTAAAACTGAAACAAAATATACCAATAAATATTACATTTGTGTAAAATTTTAACAATATACATCATTTTGATGTATTAATCCTGTTTTGGGAATACTTCAGAATCCACTTCCAATTCTTACTACAAAAATTATAAAAAGTAGAATTTAATATTTATAAATTATTGATTTGTTTACTCTATTTTTATACAAATTAATTTTATGGTAAATAAAAAGAAAAGTGAAATGTCACAAATCAATTATATTCCAGCCGAATTAAGTTTTCTAAACTTCACTATGAATATTCTGTAATATTTAAGAATGTCAGTTGAAAAATTGCAATAGTTGTGTTTTTGTGCTACAACACTTTCTTTATCTATCTTTAGTGTTTTGTATTGTCACAATTTGTAATTCAAGTAATGATTTGATGTGTGATAGATCACTGTTGCATGTAAACTATTTCCACAGTTTGCCAATAATTATTTTGTGAGATAAGTTGCACATTTTTAATAAAATTACATACTTTTTTGTGAAGTGTGAATAATTAATTATATATTCATAGTATTATGCATGACATATATAATCATAATTTTGCTGTAACCACACAAATTTATAAGCTATTTTTTTTATTAACACAAAAGAATGATTTGTGTTGGCATGTGATAACGGTTTGAGCATGAGAACTATGTGTCTAGCCTAGTCAGTAACTTGCATGATGAAGAGAGAGAGAGAAAGAAGACTGTGATGTTGGATGGAACAGAGCTCATCATCGAGTGGGGATTGCGGAGCCGCTGCTGAGGACAAGGATGGGACCAAGTCGTGGAGCTGGGAAGAGGATCCCCTCTACAGAAGATACCAACAGCTGGATCTGATCGGTAAGTCTAGCTACAAAACATTTTAACATAAACTAAAATAATTGACTATGTATCCTTCTACATTAAAGGACATTGTGTTCTTAAGCTGTTAATTTAATGCTCTGCCTGGATAGCTTTGGTTTACTTTTTCTAAAGTTATTAGGATTCTAGTGAATTAAATCTAGGAATGGACCCATAACACTTCATGCAAATTATTTTTTTTCATTCATTCTTTAATTTTCATTTAAATGTGAATGTTAATTTCTATTTAATTCAATTATTTATTTTCATAGCCTCTATAGGATATTCATAATGTGTTTCAAATGTCTTTGCAACCTCTTTTAGTATTATACCTTGTTTTTTACTTCATTAATATCCTCTTTCAGTCATTTCTGATTCCTAAAATAATTTATCTATTTTAACCAAGGAAATTTCATAAATATAGCGGGTGTTTTTGGAGAACAAATAATCTTGTGCCTTAATTAATTGAGGACTAATAATAATGAGCGTTTGCCGACATTGTGGTTAATTTTTTTTGGAAATTTCTTTTATTTACATGTTGTTGATCTAAGATCCTTAAATCTTTACATGTTCAAATTTATTTCTCCAATCTATATTACCAAAGTAAAAACTGGCTTACCTACTATGCTATTTCTTTGGCTGTGATTTATTCGACTCTCATTTCTTCTCCAGCATCCATCCGGGGTTTTAATTTGAATCAATGTGTATTTTATTTGTTCATTTTTTATGATTGTTCTTCCTACATAAATTAAAATTATTTAAGCACCTACTGCAATTCAGACGAATATTATTTATGAATAAAAGGCATTCTTAGTACTATCAACCCTTATAACCTGGATGTTGCGGTTCTGAATGCTCCTCTAACAACAAGGAGTTTCAATTTCTTTTTTCCTGATTTACTTTGTATATCGTCAAGGTATCTGTTTGGACTTACGTTTGAAAGGAACCCTCATTTTTCATTAAATAAAACTGATAGTTTAAGTTCTTTCACTGATAATTGTTCATGAAGAAATCACTACAGTATGGAGACATTAACAATAATATATTCAGGTTAGTATGCATAACTGTTTGAATTGGTGTCCTCAAAATGTGTCTTTAATTTTTCAGTGCTTTTGTCCATTTTTTAGTTTTAATTAACCACTAGTATTGCTTTTATAGTAGTTATTAATACTGTTTATTAGTAGACTTGACCAATAAGATCCAAATATTTTAGAAACATTGTTTGTTCATTTTTGTAACTTACTGATTAATCTTTTTTTAAATAATAGGATAGAAACAGTGTTACATATTGTTTACTCATCTTCCAAGAGAAATGTGAACCTCTTGCTCTCCATTTCATGTATTTGAAAAAACAAACCTAACATTTTTTAACCGTTCAAACCTAAATAATCTCTTCAACTAACAGTACAGAAACATTATCAACGCACATAAACTATTTAAAACAATAATAAATTATTTTAAATTTGAATGTTTTTAACAATTATCCTCTTGTATTATAATTATTTCTGTTCTCTAGAAAAACTTACAAGACGGATAAAAGGCCAGAAACATCAATTTAAAATTTATAAATAGCAACATGATTAGAAATGAAGTGTAAAAGGATTACATATTTTCCTCTATTAAACATTACAGTTATTTACATAAAAATTATATGTATTCATCACATCAATTATATGTATATATTTCAAAACACCAAAGAATTCAGCTTGAACGCTTTTTTAAGATCAGTATTATTTATTAAAAAAATAATTATTAGTACATTAATTACTTGTATTATGAAAAAGAAAAATATTGAAAATAGAACACTGCACATAAGTATTAAAGTATATAAGCATTTGGTATTTACAAACCTTTAGAATTTTAGTGAATTGGACTTGCAAGGTTATTTACATACAACCCATTATTGCTATTATTAACTGTCATATTTTTCCATCATACTGTTTATAGTATTTTACTGAAGGATGAATAAAACCTGATAAACTTTATTTACAATTCAGAACAAACAGAATTCCAATTGTGATTCGATCATATTGGTATTGATTGTTAAATATTTGATTAATTTAATCAGTAATTTAATTAGTTTCTTGATATCCTGACAATTTTAAATGGTATTGAATATGAAAGGTATTGGTACAGTCAGTATTTCTCAAATGCCTAACACACACAAAGAACACAAAAGGTAAAACTTATGCAAAAAATATGTTACCAAATAATATATGAAGCACTTGGTTGTAAAACATTCTTTCTAACATTATTTGTGAATTGAAGTTTTGACGGATTTCTTATGGCTGATTTCATGGGTTGTTGATATTTAAGATTTCAGAAATCATTATTATATTTTGTTTAATTTACCATACTGTATAAGTTTTTTTGTTATTTTGTGCACAGGAATAGGAAAGTATAGTGAAGTTTATGCAGGGAAGGATGTAGTTACTGGTCAGGAAGTTGCATTGAAGATCATAGATAAGAGAAGACTGCCTTCAGAAGATGGACCCAAAGACGAATATAAGAAACTTTCGGAGCTGTGCCACAGGAACATTGTCTCAGGTTTAACTCTGTTCACCGAGTCGCCCAAGGAATATTTGGACACCATTGTTATGACTAGGTATGTGTGTCATAAATAGATGACATATTTATCTTATCTCTTTTGTCCAATGATTCTGCCATGATAGTTCAAAGTTCCAGTTTTTATTTTAGAGTGTATGGAATTTATTTATATGAAACATAATGATTAGTATTCCAAATATAAAGCAGTATAAAGTTATTAAAGAAATTGTGTAGCTAGTACCATAAGTTTTATTTTATTTTGGATTTGCTTTTGTTGTTTTGGATATTTTAATTATTTTTTATAGAGAAAAAACATGTTTTATTAAAAAAAACTAATAATTTACAATCTGAATTAGTCAACTATTAAAAGCCAAATTTTTAAGCGTTACTTTATTTTTAATGCAGCAGTATGTAACAGACCATTTACCTTATATGAAAATAAGCAAACCAATAATAAATATGCATGCATTTAATGGATTCAATAGAGTCAATCAAAGTAACTATATTTTATTATTTGTCTTTGTTTCCATTCTAGTAAGAATTTATTTTCTCTATATTACAATAAATAATGGAATTCATATAAGACAAATTAAACTTTTACCAATATAAATTTTATTTATCTATTAATCTAAATTTAAAAAATAGCTGTATTAAGGATAAATATTAGTTTGAGTAAGGAGTATTTCTTCTATTTTTTTTAACATATGGCAAACAAAATTTGTATAGCTATGTTATAACTATAAATTTTTATAACATCTTATTTTTATAACTATATTAGACATTTTTTTTATAATTATGGCCTAATGATTCCAACTAACTTTTGTTATGGTTTTAAATAATATCTGACTGATAAGTATGCTGTATGATTTGTTGAGCAGTTATGCAATATTATTGTAATTCTCTCTGTTAGTTGTGGCATTTTTCTCCCCTCCTCCCCCTACCTCTCATTCTCGTTGGAATAACTTTCATCGAGATATTTTTTTCTGCCAGAATTTCTGAAAAATCCATAATAAAATTCTGTTAGCAATTTAGCAAGGCACCTCTGAGAATAATATTTACAACTATCTCCAGAGATTCTCTCTTAGAGTCTCAGCATTTTGAAAAATACTTTTGTTTGATTCATTTCTTTGTTGGTTTTAGGCCACTTTCTTTCTAATTTCTTTTATTCAATTTTTATTCTTTTTAATTCTATTTTGTTTCATAGTTTGTGTAGCTAATATTGTTATTATATTTATTTAATAAAAGTTCTTTAAAATAATGTTATATAATCTCAACCTCTCTAGCTATTTATGATATGTGTATCCACAGATGTTTTTTATTATTTTTAATTTTTCTCAGGGTCAAGGGGTCACAAATTCTTGAACATATCTGCAGTGTGCAAGGGAAAGAAGCCAAAATAAAGAAACTATTCCTACAACTGATTTATGCCCTGCAGTATCTTCTCTCACAACATGTAATACATGGAGACATAAAGGTATTTTTTTTTTTTTATATTTGCTGTAAAAAATATTTTTCATACTTCAAGAAATACAAATTTCAAGTCGATCATAAATAAAGTTTTAGTAAACTTAAATAAATATATTTTATTTCTGTTTGTTAAGTAGTTACCATAAGATTACACCATTGAATAGTTTCTTAATAATCTGTTTAGCCTGAAAATGTTCTCGTCGAGAGTGATGGTACTGTAAGGCTGGTCGACTTCGGACCCTCTGAGCCTGATCAAGAATTTACAGCCCCTGAAGCTCTTACTGCTGTAACAACCCATTCTTCAGACATGTGGAGTTGGGGAGTTCTGCTCTATGTTACTCTTAGGTGGCTATAGATAAATTTCAACTTTAATGTCATTATTTTTATTAACTGCTTATAGTTTTAATAGTCTACATATTATTTATATAATAATATCATAAACTTACTATTACTTACTACAAAATAATTTTGTAGTGGTGTTTCACCTTTCCTTGACGACTGCCCTGAAGAAACCTTCAACAATATTTGCACCGCCAATTACAGTTTTCCTCCTGACTATTTTAGCGGTGTTCCTGAAGATGCACTGTTCCTAGTTACGTCAGCTTTGGCTCCAGATCCTGATCAGAGGGCATTGCCCAACAGTTTACTTCTGTCGCCATGGTTTAAAGAGGTACTTCAAAATTTAATAATTTCATTGTGACCATTTTGAACATGCAGTATTTAACATCTATCTTCATTATGAATATTGGCCAAGATAAATAGATATTTTTAGTGACTTGAAGGGATTTTTGTTAACAACAAATATATTTTGTACAATTTGAAAAACATTGACATTGGAATGACTTTCAGAGTGATATAAACATTTATTTATGAATTGAGTGAGAACTTATTTGGTAATTCAACCATTTCTTAATGAAACCACAGTGTAGAATATTTAAAAAAAAAAAATCCAATATTATTAAAACATAAGAAAATCAAAAGAAATATTAGCTTGAATTAACTCCCTTCCTATCAAAAGCTGTGATTTAAGTGTACATGTGAATAATAATCAACCAAAATATTAATCATTGATTTATTGGCGGTAATTTTTTAATTTAAATTTATAATTAATTCTTAAGTGTATAATTTTTTCACTTATTTCTTTATTTGTTTCCAGAATGATTCAGATTGGGCAGCTCCTGTAGAAAGATTATTGAATTTTATTGAAAGAAGAAGAAAGTCTACGTGTTGTGGTTTATAGCAGGGTTGGACCTAGTTGAAGAAACTTTACCAAATTTTATGCCAAATGAATGTGCTTTGTTCCATAAAGTGTATATTTTGTATAGTGTCTGTATATTCTCGTTCTCTTTGTATGATTATGTAAATACAGATAATGTAAGCATTTATAATTCTGTGTTAATTTATTTGTTAATTAATTAGTTATTTAAAATCAAAAATGTAAAATTAAAAATTTATTTTGTAATATGTTTTGTTTGTTTACCTACTTTTTGTTTGATTTTTTACTGAATTTATTTTTTGTGTGTTGGGAATTCCTATTGAGTTTTGCATTCTAAAACTAAAGTTCATATTATTTTATTTTTTATTTCTTATAAATAAAAATAATAATATTTCAATTTTTTATTCTATAGGCCATAGTTGGGAACCTTTAAATCATTAGGGGACGCAGTGGGGTTAAGCAGTGCTAATGGAGGCCACACAAATGTTTACTTTTACTCATGTATATATGTAATATATATTAAGAGAAAGTATTGCTATCGAGAATATTTTTGAATCTGAATTTTCAACTGAAATACACATTTTGGGGTACCCTGAGTCCAAATAACCAAGTCCTGAAAAATGGTACGTGTGTCTATGTGTTTGTATGTTAGCAGTCTAGTTCGAAAATGAAAAATCGTACAAAACTGATATTTCATATTTAAGATAGGTATATGCCTTAGATGTGACAACAACTTTTTCCTTAAAATCGGCTAACCTGAAGTGCCACTTTATATCAATGGTGAAACACATTTTTACAATTTTCTCAAAAACGGCTCCAACAATTTTGATTAAACTTGATGTATCATTGTATAATTAAGTGGTCTTTAATATCATTTAGGTCTTATCCCCGTTGATGTCACTTTACAGGGCTTAAAGGCCCAATGCTCATACGCGTCTTTCTCTAAAGTACCTTTAATATAGTTTATTTTAAATAATTAACTATCTCTCATTATTAAGAGTTACGAAAAAATGGCAAATATAACTTTTGAAAGAATTTGATAAGTTAATAAAGAAGAATAAAATGAAAATGCTTATCCAGGTTGAAAATGAATTTCCGGAAATACTAGTCAGAAGGTATACGTATAATATATCGTTGGAAAGCGGAGAATTTTAGAAAAAACAACATCTAATATAGAAAGTTGTAGAAGGTAAGGGAGAGTGGCAAAAAAATTATAAATAATAATTTTTAAAAACTAATAATATTGAACATAAATCACATGTTTTCAAGGAAATTAAATGAAATTTACTAACTGAATTGAAAATTTCAAAATATTTTTAAGTTTGAAAAAAGTATTTAAAATCCACCTAATCAAGGCAATGACATTGTTTAAAAAACTATTTCATTGTACTCATGTGGAAGGAGAAGTAAAAAATAAAATCATTTCATGGATATGTAAAGTGTATGTTTATAAGCTTAAATACATTTACTGTAGTTCAATAATTCTAGATCTGATATTATATTTAAATAATTAGGTATCAACGTCCGTTTATTCCAAAATATTGTCATGTAGTCTTTTAGAAAATTAAATTAGTGAATAATTTGACGAATCTCTCCATTGTGATATTTCAACAGTATCCACTACTATTTCATTGTACTTGTGTTAAAGAAGAAGTGAAATATAAAAATATTTCATAGATACGTTTATAACCTTAAATGTATTTACTGTAGTTTAATAACTCTAGATCTGATATTATATTTAAGTATTTAAATAAATTTAGTAATCAACGAATTGCACAATCCATCATTAACCGGTGATATAATAAATAGGAATTTTGTTATTTTAATTGTATTTATGATTTGTTAACTGTAATTTTTTAGCTTGAGCTCAGTTAACAATGCAATTCAAAATTTTATAATAGCCCAACATGGCCAGAAAATAATTTCTATTAAAAAGTTGAGTGGTAAGTGAAAGTTGTGTGTTGCGCGCACCAGATTTTTATACTTTACTGTTGTTTTTATTTATCACTTTATATTCACACCCATAAACACATATTATACACTTATTATATTAATTTTAAAATGTCCATAACTTAAATAATTAAATATTAATTAGTTCTACCCCTAGATTAATAAATATCACATATTTTATGTGATTTGATGGTTTAAGGTCGCAGCTACCTGGCGGAGGCCATGTGTGGCCTAGAGGCCGCAGGTTCCTCACCTATGCTATAGACCATCACTTAAGTTGTGGCTTTTTAAATAATCTGGAAAGATTTCTGTCTTTTTCACACACCAGTTAATAGTAAAATGGAGCAAATTCTAACTTGCAGGCTGAATTTAGCCCTTGAATACAACCAATCCGGCCCAAGAACTCACACAGTTTGTTTTGATAATTGACATAGTGACCTTAATTGACAATGTACTTATCTCTATTTTGCATGATTTTCTAATCTTACTACATATTACATAGCTACTTGTAGATACTGTGGCCCATCTATTATAAAATGCAGGTTCCAATATCACAGTTGACCTAGGAATTCTTCTTTTGCTTATCTTCCATACCTGATCTATCATGATATAAAAAACTACATAGGGGACTAAAACTGTCACCATACCTCCCTAATAGAATCAAAAGGGAGCATTTTGTACTATTGAGGCAATTATACCTTTGATCCCTGATATACTGAGTTTGTAGCGTTTGTCTCATTTGGTGGTATATTTCTTTCATCCAAACCTTTCCAGATTTCTTGGTGTAAGAATGAGTCAAATGCAGCTCTTAGTTAAAAAAAGAGAAAAAATATGTACCTTATTGAGTAATATGAAAAGAAAGTATCATTGTCTCATTCTAGGCCTAATATTGCAGATATATTTAGAACTCGTCTAGCTCAAACATCACACTAAAATAAATAATTTTGTGGTTATCTACAGTAAAGTCTGTGTTTTTATTCTTAAAATCCATATTTCTTATTTTTCTTTGTTGGATACATTAGATTAACTTGATCTCTAACATTTATTTATATGTGAGAGACTAAAATATATGTATATACTATTCAATAGATGAATGCATTTAACAATTGTTAAACTTTTTAAAAATTACAGTCTTTCTTAGATAGAGAGTGCTTGAAAATTAATTGTAACAAATTATTAACAGAGGTTGTGTTCCATAATGTTTCCACTGGTAGCAAGATAGTTCTGCTACCATATGATTGTTGGGAACAACTGTCCTAAAGTCTAGTCTATTCCATGTTAAAAATTGGTGAGTGCAGTACAAAGTAAAACCAACAAGCAGTGCTGTTGGAGGTGGCCTATTCCCAGTAATGAATTGTTCCAAAATAAAGATAGTTTATAAAATTGCCAATAAGAGCAATGAGAATTAGTAGCTTTGCTGTCATTTATGCTAAATGCCTCTGATAGTTTTGTAATATATATAAAAAAAGAAAAAGATGATTTTATTTTAAGTTATTTGAAACACACACACAATCAGTTTAATGCTTTTTGAACATTTGATTCTGGAGCATAGATAGAATCCCTGTTATTCGATTTCTGAAACCACAAACAGGCAATGAAACAACAGTGGGAAAACAAAATTATCCAATTATGAGAAATTCCACTGGTTATAACTTTCTGTTCAGGGAATTAAAAGTCCCAATCCTATCCCCATTTTTACCGTTTTCTGCTCTAATCAAATGTTACTTGATTGCGGAAATGTCGAGAGAAACTAAAATATATACATTATTCTAAAAAATAAAATACTATTAAAAAAAATATGAACTGACATAGAGCGTCTAGATATTGCAGATGTTTTCACCTATAGCTCTGAGATGAGAGATGGCTTTAATAATAAATTATTAATTCTACAAAATCGAAATCAGGAAAACAGAACATTCTAAAAAATATATAATTATTTAGAGTACAGGACTATATGTATGTTTTAGAAGCATATATTAAAAAATATTTAGGTGAAAATGGGCATCAGTTTAAAAGGAATTAATTTTCAAACCCCCAACAATATTTTACAGCAACTCGTATTTGATGGCTGATGTATGACGTAATTCGTTCCGGAAGTTTGCTTACATTTCAAGTATGTCTTACCCATTGGTAAGACATTCGTAAATCGTAAATTATCTGATATTTAAATAGTTGAGGGATAGCCACACTTTTTTAAATCTCTCAAAGCACAGGTTCTCAACCTTGTGATTACCTTTTTTCATAACAAAAATGTATGTCATAAAAGGATACAAATATATATATCTTTATACAAGATTATATATATATATATATATACATATTCTTGAAACAATTTAATTATTGAAAACTTTTTTCCCCATGACTTAATCGTATAACGAAGCAATCAAGAGTTAGAAAGTCAGATAGAGTAAAAAACTTAAGATCAATTTTTTCTCTCCAAATTACCGATAGTTGAGGACGGATATTTCGGAAACTAAGACAGGTAACGAAAACAAATATAAAATCAATCATATTGCAAATGTTATCAGCTTCAATTTTGTATAGAGTGTCTTTGTCGATGGGATGGATAGTTTTTCTAATATATGCGAAAACCCAAAATACAGCAATAATCATGAGTCAAACATTTTTGTCTCCAAATTAGTTATAGTTGAGGACGGAAATCTCGGAAACCAAGCGAGGTAGCGAATAAAAGGTATATAATCAATAATATTGGCAATTTTATCAGCTTTGGTTTTGCATAGAACGTCTTTGTCGATGCGATGGATAATTTTCCTGATATAAGCGAAAACCCGAAAAAATTGATCTAGGCGACCCCACATCTGGCTCACCCACCACCTAGGGGAAGTTTTAGTATGTTTACCTCCTTACTAGTCCAAACAATGTACCAAAATAAAAAATTGTGTCTCCGCCATTTCCTTCTATAACCCCTTTTTGAAAATTCATTGACTGAACTATTCAGGCGTGCCCATCCCCCCAAGGTTGGTGGCGCAAGAATCTAGTCCCGCCCCCTCCTACCCCCTCCCGAGGTATTTTATTATTCACCGTCTCTTAATAACATAGCAAGCTAAGGTAGA